CTCGTAGCCACCGATCGCGACCCTTGGCACCCACTCAGCGACGGAAGCCGGACCCCCGGTGAGCGTGGGACTAGGTGCGGGGACGTGTGTGGGGCCCCGACGCGCGTCTCGTGATTCTTGCAAGTGCCGCCCGTGAGGGGTAGTGGCCGTGGACCGGTTTGACAGACGAGCCAGCTGAGGCTCACTGTGGCTTAGGGAATTAATTGTAGGTGGGATACGGGTCTGGAACTGGACTCCTGGGCTTTTATCATTGGCCCCACCCACTTTGCAGGTGGGTTTGTAGAAGCGGCCTGGACGGATGATCCCAATAGAGAGCAGAATCCGCACGTGCAAAGGCATAGGATGGAGGCTGATGCGGAGACTGGAGGTTCATGGAGCTTGACTCAGTTCCAGATCTGGCCACACTTGGTTAACCCTGTGGAGTTACATAACCTTGGAGCATCCCTGCCCGGGTGTGAGTGGGGCTCCTCTCCATGTCAATCATTTCAGAGCCCCTGACAAGAGGGAGGTTCATGTTGCCAGCCCTCCAGCTACCAAGGTAGCTTTCAGAAACCTCTTAAAGCTGTTTTTTACTTCTTTCCAGATTACCCCCAAAATAAGAGTGTTAGCCCATTTCTCAGTTATAGAAATCGAGGCTCAGAGAGGCGAAGTGAGCATAGAGTAGGTGAATCTGAACTTGGCCCTGGGAACACCTCTCCCCCACCCGTCCATCAAAGGGCACACCTGGCTGTTGTTACTGGGGATACTCAGTCCTGCACCTAGGCAGGAGCAGTGAGGGTTGGAGTTAGTCAAGAGGTGGAGGGAGCATCAGGTCAGGGAATGGTGAATGGATAAGGACAGATTCGGTACTCTATGATGTGGCATGGACATATCTCTGCCACGCCACTCTGCTGGCCTTTCACCCAAATAGTCATTGATACCAAACCCTGGGAGGGAGTGGGGTTCTGCCCGGTGGCCTTGCAGGAAGTGAGGTAGCCACAGCTTTGTGGAGATGTGTGTGGAGAGGAATCTGGGAGCCTTCCTGGAGGAGGCGTGCTGCAAGGCAGGGTGTTAGTGAACAAGGAAATATTGGTATCCTATTAAGATGGTGTTGCCAAAAAGGAAGCTGTTGTCTGGGCCTTTTCTGGCTCGTGGCTCTGCCTGAGACCTACTTTCTGCTCATTATATGCACCTTCTCCCCATAAATCTAAGGGAGAGGTCCCAGCTGCAGCGTCCGCTACCCCACCATGCTACTAACAAGCCAGATTTCCCTCAGAGCTTAGGTTGAAGCTGTGGGACAGGGCTTCTCCGGGGTCCCAGAAAGTGGTGTGAGGAACTTGGGAGAGGCCAGACCTATCTATCCTCAGGCTCTTGGAGGAACCTTCCTGACTTCTGTCTCCATACCCACCTAGCTGTACTCACCCAACCTGCTGGTCACTTCTACTGCCTGGAGGGGGAGACAGAGCGTTAACAAACACAAACTTGCAAACATTTGTGAGTGATGCAGCTTCCAAACCATGTTAACAAACCCCTGGTGGGCCCAGTAGTGGTTGTGGTGCAAGCCTTTAATCCCAGCACTGGGGAGGCAGAGGCAAACAGATCTCTGTGAGTTCAAGGCCAGACTGGTCTATAGAGCTAGTTCCAGGATAGTCAGAGGTACACAGACAAACCCTGTCTCAAAAACAACAACAACAAAAAGAAAAAATCAAAAAACCCTACTGGTTGTATGTCAGTAACCTAGGAGTAGAAGGAGCTAGGCACACAAACAAAAATTAATGAAGGCCCCCATTATGCATCATATTTGAGATAATGTGAAACCACACCCCAGTTTTCCCCCCTCATCACAGGCCTATGAAATTGTGTGCATGTTTGCTTGAGCTGGCAAGTAGAAATGGCCACAAGTACAAGAATATGCCATTGCATATAATGCCTTGAGTTAAGTGTTATAGTCATGGGCTCCCCTCCTGGGATGCTTGCCCAGCCATCATGTTGTCAGGAGCCTCGGTAAAGCTTAGCTGTATGACTGACATGTGATATGGGGGCCAACAGGGACCAGCTCTGTCCTGGGAGTTAGGAAAAGAACAGACTTACAGAGCTGGGGACAATCTTTTTGTTTATCTTTGTGTTTTTGAGACAGAGTGTCAGCCTTGGCATGCCTGCCAAGTGCTGGGATTAAAGGTATGAACCACCACCCCTAGCAAGACTGGATCTAGGATGGTAGACTCCAGCAAGTTACCCTAAAATGAAAGAATGGGCCTAAGGTGGCCATGGAGGTATATACTTATATTCCCAGCATTTAGGAGATTAAGGCAGGAGGTTCCGGAGTTCAAAGCCAGTATGGTTATATTAAGATCTAGTCTTGCCAGCTGGGTGATAGTGGTGCACGCCTTTAATCCCAGAACTCGGAAGGCAGAGACAGACTGATCTCTGTGAGTTAGAGGCCAGCCTGTTCTACAGAGCAGTTCCAGAACAAGCTCCATAGCTACTGAGAAACCCGGCTAGCAAGACCGGATCTTGGTGGAGTCTCCCATCCTAGATGGAACCTTAATTAGGGACACAGTTGGTTCTTCACTCCTAGTGAGCAAACCAGGCTAGGGGCTGTAGCATATGTAAAGGAGGTGCCTGGTCCTGTGCCCGCCCCCCCTCCCCAGCACTTTACCTGTGCTCTGATGTGGTAACTCCTTGAGGGCCTCAGGGCTGTGGTTCTTACTGTGCCTGCCCATTCTGTGGCTGGCGTACTGCAGTGATGTAGCTATGAGCGTGGAGAGAGGAGGCCCTGAGTGTTTGGGGTCAGGCTGAGGTAAAGTAAGAAATATTTCATCACAGGGAGGGCCTTGCTTTATACCCTCAGAATGATAACTGGTAGAAACACTCCCTTGTTGGCTGTTGGCTGGTGTGCGAATTGCCACAGTCACCTCAAGAACACAGAGCAAAGTTAGTGGAGGTTGCAAACATACTTTATTGTAAATAATTCATTCTGATGTTTTGGAGACAGGGTCTCACTGTGTATATAGCCCAGTGTAGCTTGTCACTGAGCCTCCTGCCTCAGGCTCCTGAATACAAGCCGTTGTGCTACTCCCAAGTGTGTTAATTTTTTGTTACTGTGTAAGGCACCATGACCAAGGCAATTTATAGAAGAAAGGGTTGCCGGGCAGTGGTGGTGCATGTCTTTAATCCCAGCACTCAGAAGCTGGCGGATCTCTGTGAGTTCAAGGCCAGCCTGGTCTACAGAGCGAGTTCCAGGACAGCCTTCATAGCCACCGAGAAACCCTGTCTCGAAAAACAAAACAACAACAAAAAAAAGGTTTACTTGGGTTTGTAGTTCCAGAGAGACAAAAGTCAACAGAGGTGACAACTTGGTGGCTAGGACAGTAAGATGAAAGCTCAAACTGCAAGCAGGAAGCTGATAGCGAACATTAGAGATGATGGGAGACTTTTTAAAGTGCACTTCCTCCAGCAGAGCCAGCCAAACACTTGTCCAAACACTACCAACTAAGGAGCATCTTCCAGTGACCAAGACTATGAGGGGTAATCTTACTCAAACCACCACACCCAAGAAGATCAGCGCTGGTGGGTTTCTCTCTTTCTTTCCCTTCTATTTAGAGGATGGTGATAGGGTTTGAGACAGGGTTTCTTTGTCCTGGAACTCACTCTGTAGACCAGGCTGGCCTCAAACTCAGAAATCCACTTGCCCCTGCCTCCCAACTGCTGGGACTAAAGGCATTCACTCCCACAGCCCCCAATCCCTGGCCCTCTGGTCAGGTTTCTTAATGTCATGGAGCCTCAGCTTTCTTATCTGTGAAATGGGCTTTCAGAGTACACTGAGTAAATAGTGGTGCTTCTCTTTGTATATAGTTATGGATGTTGGTGTAAAGGCAGGATGTTCTGGCACAAGGACGTGTCTGTGGGCAGGAATAGCAGGCTCATTGTGCCAGCAGAATGGTGCTGGCTGCGTGGCAGGACTGTGCTTTTCTAAACAGACATCCCGTTGTCAGGCTCTTGGGCTCCTTCCCCAGCTTTGGTTACTTCCCATGGCCACTTGTTGCAGACATCTTTGAGCATGTAGCTTTTTGTCTCCAGATGGAATTTTCTCTAGGGGATCATTTTTCCCTGCAAGACTGACTGGGTCAGAGGTGTGGACATTTCTGTGCCTTGCTGCATTCCAGGCTGGCTGTGCCAATTTTCCATGCCAAGAGCATGGCTTCTTGGAGCAGTAAACACCATTGCTGCCTAAATGCTCTTCCATTTACAAAGTGCCTCCCTGTGAGGCCCACTGCATCCCTTCAGGGTAAGTGATATTTAATCCCATCTTATCACAGTTCAGAGAAAGGGGCTTGCCCAAAAACACAGCTGTCCTGCAGAACTGATGGCACAAGCCTGTTCACACACAGGCTTAGAGTATACACAGGAGGGGACTGCCGTTGCCACCTTCATGTTAGATGGAGAAGCTAAGCACACAGTGTGTCCAGAGCAGTGGTGATGGATTCCGAATTCAGGTGTCTGGCACAGGCCTTTAGGTTAGGCCCAGCTGCTGCCCTCCTGCTGACCATGTGTGCCCTTCCCACAGGTACTGGAAGCCTGGCTGCCGCAGTGGAGACAGCCTCAGGACGCCAAGCCCTGGTGGTGGGCAAACCCAGCCCCTACATGTTCCAGTGCATCACCGAAGACTTCAGCGTGGACCCTGCCCGCACACTGATGGTGGGTGATCGTCTGGAGACCGACATCCTCTTTGGCCACCGCTGTGGCATGACCACCGTGCTCACACTCACAGGGGTGTCACGCCTCGAAGAAGCCCAGGCTTATCTGGCAGCTGGTCAGCATGACCTTGTGCCTCACTACTATGTGGAGAGCATTTCAGACTTGATGGAGGGGCTGGAGGACTGAGCCCACCTCCCCCACTCCCTGATCCCATAGATGGAGCCTCCAGGCCATGAGTCACATTCAGCACCATGAGCACCCTGGCACAGGTGTCTGTACCCCAGTAAAGGGAAGCTAGGATCCAGGAAGGTTTGTGGGCTCTCATACCCCTCCTAGCAATGGCTGGACACTGCTGTTCAGAAGCTGCCCCCCACATCTTGAAGGTTCATCCTGGCCTGACCCCACCAGGTGGCCTTATTTCTTGCCCTATCACCTCCCCTTCTTGAACTGTATATGGGCCCTGAAGCCAAATGAAAATATTCTCCAACCCTGAGTACTTAAGCTCCTCCCCTCTTCTGGGACCTCTAGTGCTCTGTCTGAGGTCCTTGTTGACCAATCAGAGGACTAGGGAACTCCAGCCCCATTCTTGGCCTAAATAGGCCTATGGAAGGGAAAGCTACCAGTAGTGACCAGTATGTTTATGTCTCACAGTGGACCAAGTATCCTGGAGCCCCGAAGCATCACTCACAAGGCTAAGGGACACTGATCTCTGGATGTCCATCAGGACCATAACAATCCACTGGCTTCTTAGATCCCAAATACAGCAATTTACAAGTCCAAGACACAGTGGCTTTTTGACAATCCTGGGCTGACTGGATCAGCCAAGGGAGCAGGTTCTAGCAGGGTAGGGTGATGAATGCCTGTACTTTCAGCACTTTGGAGGCTGAGGCAGGAGGATTGCTCTGATTTTGGTGACCTGGGTTGAAGAGTGAGACCTCATCTCAAAAAGACCAACTTCAAAGTCAAGTTTCTCCAGGAACTGATTGGTGGAATGGCAAGGCTCCCACCATAATACTGTCCAGTGTTGATGGTTGCCACAGCTTGAAAGGGGGCCCTTATGCCCCACCCATTGCATTCAGAGTTTGCTATGCCACCTCTCTAGATGCCCATGCCCAGCTATTTATTTATTTATTTGTTTGTTTGTTTGTTGTGTGCCAGTGATGGTGGGGGCAGGGCAGAATCTTCCCGCCACCTCCACCCTTGTTGTAACCAGTCTTTGAACTTAATAAAATGTGAGTGGGAGTTTCTGTGCCCCAGTCTGTGGGGTGGGGAGTCCTGCCTGAGCCTGCTTCCCTCAAGTACCAACACCCCCCACCCTGCAAGAAACGATGCCTCCCATTTCTGTGTTCTCAGCACAGATGTACTCTGACTCTTGAGCTTTTAGCAGCTGTAAGACCTTGTGTCAGTTTGTTTCAGTCCATTAAAAATCTAGTGTTGGGGCAGGGGAGTTGGGTCAGTTGGTAAAGTGCTTATTGTACAAGCACAAGGGCCAAAGTTTGATCCCCAGAACCCACATGAAAATGCCAGGTGTGGTGGCATGTCCCTGTAATCCCAACAAGGGAGGTAGAGACAGGTGGGTCCTTAGGGCTCACTGCCCAACCAGTATAGACTGTTTGGCCAGTTCCAGGCTAGTGAGAAAGCCTGTCTCAAAAACAGTGGATGTTGCTGGAGGGGTGACCTGAAGGTCTCTGGCCTCCACATCCCTGTGCATCCATGGGGACATGCATACACAGCCCGACGCTTGCATTGCTCTTAGGCAATAGCCGGTATGTGATGCTGAGGGCAGGGATGTGGCTCAGTAGTAGATCAAATGCCTCCTGTGCTCAGGTACCAGCACCATAAAGAAAGAAGAAATGTGATATGGACTCAGGCCAGGATGGACAGCTGATCTTTGCTTTGAACTAGAGATAGACATTTGCCCAGAAGGCTGCAGCCCCCTCTGGAGAACAGGAGGATACTGGATGAGGTCCCACCCTCGGGCCATCTCGGCATCCCCTCCTTAACTTTTAGATAATGTAGCATTATGCACTCCTTAAAAAAGTCTGTCAGGCTGCCATTTCTTTGAAGGATGACTCATTCCTAACTCCCTCTCCCGACTCTGCAGCCTTCAACCCTTCTATCACTGCAGTTTATCCGGAGTAGACGTTATGAATCCACAATCCATTTGCTTCTCTATCTCCCATGAAGGATGCATTTCACACAGCACCATGACACTGGCATTCCTCAGGGCACTGTGCAGGGGTTTAGAGCTTTCTTCAACCTTCCATGCAAAGTACAGGACCTTGTCTCAAAAGAAGAGAGAGGGCCCAGTTAAGAGCATGGACTGCTCTTGGACTCAGATTGACAGCTCAAAGCTACCAGTACCTCTCCAGCTGCACGGGGTCTGACCCTTGCTCTGGCCTCCCACAAACACACATTAAAAAAAAAAGTGGCCGGGCATTGGTGGCACAAGCCTTTAATCCCAGCACTCAGAAGGCAGAGGCAGCAGATCTCTGTGAGTTCGAGGCCAGCCTGGTCTCCAGAGCGAGTGCCAGGATAGGCTCCAAAGCTACACAGAGAAACCTTGTCTCGAAAAAATAAAAAAAAAAAGTGTCAGTGGGTGGTGGTGCATGCCTTTAATCCCAGAACTCGGAAGCAGAGGCAGGCTGATCTATGAGTTTGAGGCCTGCCTGGTCTACAAAGCTACACAGATACACAGAGAAACCCTGTCTCAAAGGAAAAAATAATAATAATAATAACATCTTTGAAGCTAAATGAAGCGCCAACAGGAGAGTGATTTAAAGCACATGAAGGCACAGCATGTGAGGGAAATAACTCCTTTGTACTTTTTGTACTTTGTACTTTTGTTTACCTACTGTTTAGGGGAGAAAAAAGATAAGACTGTTTGGCTCTCCAGAGTCGATAGGCTGACCCACCCCTAGGACTGCTTGGAAATTCAGAAGAAGAAAAGCCTAATCTACAATGTTACTTTCAAATGTAATGGGAGGTTTGGGACTAGTCCACTTAATATTCTATTGAGTTTGAAAACAGTAAACATTAATTTCAGCATTGCAGTAATTTTGCTTTAAAAAAACATACTGGGCAGTGGTGCCACATTCACCAGCAGAGGCAGGTGAATTTCTGTGAGTTTGAGGCCAGCCTGGTCTACAGAGGGAGTTCCAGGATAGCCAAAGCTGTTATACAGAGAAACCCTATCTCAAAAAAAAAACAAAAAACAAAAACCCTTTAAATCTGTAAGCATTGTGTGTGTGTGTGTGTGTGTGTGTGTGTGTGTGTGTGTGTGTGTGTGTGCGGGGCGCCCCGGGTGAGAAAAAGGTATCAGAACTGGAGTTACAGACAGTTGTGAGCCACTATGTGGGTGCTGGGAGGAAGACACACCTTGGAGGATATCTATGCCTGCCTATGCTGAGATTTCCAGAGGTTTAATTAAAGAAAACCAACCCTGAGTGAGGACAGCATCATTCCACAGGTTGGAGACCCAGAGTGAAGAAGAAGGAAAGGGAGCTGAGCCCAGCATTCACCTCTTTCTGTTTGTTGACAGCAAACACAATGTGACCAGCTGCTTCATACTTCTGCCACCATGTCTTCCTCACCATGATGGACTGTTGCCCCTCAAACCTCAAAGCACACCTTCGCTCCCTTTGGTTTCTTACCATGTACTCACAACAATTAGAGTCAGCACAGAAAGTTGCTGTTGGAAGTGAGGCTGCTGTTGAGAGAAGCCTATGCACATGGTTCACAGATTTCTGAACTGATTTATGGGAGGAATGCGGAAGAGTCCAGAGCTGCTGGCTAGAGAAGTTCAAATGCTATGAACAGAGCTTAATGGGTCATTCAGGTCCAGAAGACCACAATGCAAAGAAAGGTGAACAGTAAATACCAAACTCACAAGGTTTCAGAGTGGGTGTGGACTCCATCAGAAACTGGGCTAAAGGCCATTGTGTTCTCTAGGCAAGACCCTAGCCATATTCCTGAAAAGTTGTATGAGGTTGCATTCAAAAGCAATGGACTAGTTTGTTAAGATTTTTGTTGTTCTTGTTTTGTTTTTTGAGACAGGGTTTCTCTGTGTAGCACTGACTGTCCTGAAACTCACTCTATAGACCAGGCTGGCCTCTGCCTCCCAAGTGCTGGGATTAAAGGCGTGCACCACCATTGCCTGGCTAGAATTTTCAAGACAGCACTACATCCAAGCTGTGGCATGGTTGTGGTTCACTGTTCTTAGATCTAAAGTGAGAGCAGAAAGTTGGAGAGAAGCTGGGTAGAGAGAAAACAGTTATAATGATTAAAGTAATAGTGCCATGACAGAAACTGAGGCTGTGCCTGGGGCAAAAGGGAAGGTACTTTGAGAACAAGACTGCAAACTCTGAAGGAGACTCAAGTTGTGAAAATGCAGTCTTGAACCAGGTAGTGGTGGCTCACAAGTTTAGTCCCAGCACTTGGGAGGTAGAGGCAGGTGGATCTCTGTGAGTTCGAGGCCAGCCTGGTCTACAGATCGAGTTCCAGGATAGCCAGGGCTACACAGAGAAACTGTGTCTCGGAAAAATGCACTCTTTAAAGCAGTCTGACTGAGACTGATGGAGGGTTCCCTGCTCAAACATCACCCCTAGTGAAGGGTTGTCTAGGTCCACCCATGGGGGCACACAGACCACGATACACCTGTGGTAAAGGGGCCCAGCCCATGTATCAAGCTGTCAGCAGAACTTGGCAGCATATCTGCAAGGTGCTAGTTTTTCAAGCATACAGACTACAAGTCACCGGGTCATGGAGATTGCAGAAGACTGTAGGCCAGGCAATGTATAGCAGGGTTGGGATTCCTGTAAGGAAATCCTAAGAGGCCGTTATTATTTGAGGCTATGACAGTAAGGCTCCAGTTAACCAGGGATGTGTGACATCCAGTTAACCTACAGCTGAGGAAAGCTGTAGGCATGGGCCCAAAAGAGGCTCCATGTGCTACAGGCCATGGGATTGGAATGGGTGGGGCTGCTAAAGGATGCTAAAACAGGAAGCTTCAGGATTGGTATTTTCTCTGGTGGGTTTCAGGCTTGTTTGTATCTGATCCCATTCTTCCCTTTGGGGATGGGAATGTTCACCATTAAATTCTGGAAGCAGCTATTTTTTCTAAGAGTCCGTGGCTAAGATTGTCTTGAGTCTCAGGAGAGATTTTGGACTTTGGGCTTTCAAACAGTGTTAGAAATGTTTGGACTTTTAGAAATGGACTAAATGTCTTTTGTGATAAGAGATAAATTTGAGACTTTGGGGCCAGAGGTGGAGTGTTGTGTATTGATGTGAATCATTTGAGTGTCAAGTTGACAAGAAATGGGTTCATTTTATTATCATCTTGACTGGACTTAAAAGTAGCCAGGCGATAGCTCTGGGCATACCTGTGAGGCTGTTTCAAGACAAGTCCCATTGGCTAGGAAGAAAGGAGAAAGTGAGGTGAACACCAACATTCATCTGTCTCTTCCGGAGTGTGGACACACGGTGACTAGCTGTCTCCCATTCCTCCCACTATGCCCTTCTTGATATGATGGACAGTAATGTCAACCATGAGCCAAAACAAGCCCTCCTCCCTGAAGTTGCTTTTCTCAGATATTTTGTCACAGCCATGGGAAAAGTAACTAATACAATGATTTCAAAGTAAAATGCTAAGGCAAATAAAAGGCCTGAGCCCTGGAAGATGGGGCTTGTGATCTGAAGAGCACAGAACCCAAGTGGATAACTAAGTGGAAAGGTGGCTGCCTGGAAAGGTGGGACAGGGGACACCGCAAGGAGGTGCAGTGTTAGGGGGGTACCAGCACAAGGGTACCAGGAGTTGGAGGAGGCACCTTCCCCCCAATACATACCCCTACCCTTCACAAAGCAGCTTTTAGAGCCCAGGTCCGTGTGTTTTCCTCAGCTCCAGCTCCCTGTGAGAGCACAACCAAGTGCCCTCCCACTCTGGTTTCTACATCCTTAAACTGCAATATAAGATGTGGGGGAGCAAGTCAGGTATAGCATCTCCAGGGTCCCTCCCCACTGTCTTCAAGGACTCAGTGTGGGAGCCAGCTTGGTGGGTGCCGTAGATGGTACCCGTGTGCTCCATGGCTCCATGCCAGTGCTGGCTGAAGGAGGTACAGACTGTGTCAGGGCTAGGGAGGAGCTGGAGGGCCAGGAAGGGCCTTACTGGCTGGGACCTGTATGGACAAGCTAAACTCAGATCCAAGGGCTAGGTTGCAGGACAGAATTCCAGAAGACTGTCCTGGCTG